TTTGAAAGTTTCACCTGCTGCGTATAGTCAATACCACAGGAATGACATTTTGGTCTCTTCACGCCTTTTATAGGTGTCTTCGATATTCAATATTACTGCAACATTATACTTCACAAGTATATACAATATTGATGATTCATTCAAAAAGCATCCATCAATGATTAATCGTATGTGATATTTGCGCATATAGATTAAACATTAATTTGTTGATAGACCTCAATTATATCATCAGTGGCATTGCAGCAACATTTCTGAATATTAGAATTAGAGAAGAAATAATAGTATATATTGTGCAACAAGAGGGGAAAGTTCAACTTTTCTCACTAGTGCGAAAGTTTGTGGCACGAGCCTGACGGGCGAGTGATGCAAAAACACACGAGTGAGAAAAGTGCTTTTTCTCATATGCAACATATACACTATTATTTTCCTACAACTGCACTTATTCAAAGAATCCGAGTAATGTAACTTATTGATAATCATTTTATAATGTGACACTATGCCACATATACACTACTTATAATTTTCCTACAACTGCACTTATTCAAAGAATCCGAGTAATGTAACTTATTGATATTCATTTTATAATGTGACACTATGCCACATTGAATATTGTGAACAAAGAGTAGGAAGACGCCTTTCCTAGTTCCTCAAAGTATTTCAAAAAAGTATGTATACCTACTCTCTCCGAAAAATATTTTATTTTTGTATTTTTTTAGATTCCATAAATTGTTCGTATATGCCAATTCATACTTTTTTTCTTGAAATTTCCGGAAACAAATCCTTTTGTCTCTGGCGGTGAATTTATCAAAATCGTCACATCTCGGTATATATAGGTACATCATAATATTATTTATTATGAATTGTTGGAATAGAATTTGATGGAAAATGCGATTTCTATCAAAAGCACTAGTGAGAACTACCCTGAAGAATTCAAAAAACTTCTTCTGACAGTTGTGACAACTATTCAAAGCTGAACAGCAGCCAAGTTTTGGTCGATTTTTGTTGATTCTCCATGGAAATGTATGGGGTGTTGGCAAAGTGCCGTGAGAAAAAATATTTCTCACAGTATGAGCAGTACATGGTTTTGAAACTAAGTAAGCTATGAGAAATGCGCTACTTTTCATAGCCGTAGTAGAAAAAGTATCATTGCCGCTCTCCATAGATTACCGCGTGACATGAAGATCTCTTTGTCGAACAGCAATCCATCACTTTGTCCTCTAAATACACAAATAGCTATTATAATTCGATAATAACCCGTGCAATACGCCAATACGGAAAAAGCGTATCGCATTTCATTGGCCCCTGTTTGCCTTTTCCTCTGACTTAATCGCCGTTCAGCCAGCGATAATACACGGCTTCTCTAACACGTACACCTTACCCTATCTTTACGGAGATAGAGTGGAACAGTAAAGATAATACACACCCTAGATAGACACCGAGTTCGTAAGAATGGGCAACGCCATAGCCATATTTGAAAAGGAAAGCCGCGGTGAGCCCAGTCTGGAAACACTGTTCAAAAGGTCTACCTCCAGCCATTTGCACAAATACGATATATGGGTTCTGCATGTAACAGAGAGATTGTATTTAGTATTCAAGAGTGAATTGATGTGTTATCAATGTGAAATAGAAGAAGTTATTCCAAACTTTCTCATAAGGAGATGCCAAATAACTGTTGTGACAGTAAGTCAAATTACGAATCGGAAAAAAATATGTTTCGATTTTCAAATTTCCTAAAGAAGAAGAACTGCGAAAAAGTGGATATCGATCTAAACCTAATACCTCAATAAGAACAAATCCTGATGAAAGACGTCAGAAATGTTTAGCTGTCCAAATAAAAAATAATTGATTTTGAAAAATCCGACCTAATTCTCAATTACGAGCAGGTAGTTGGAGCAGAATATGCATAAAAATTGATATAGTCGTTGCGATTGAAAAGTCCTTGAGACAGAAAGTAAAATTCATTTTTATCAATTAGGTTCACAGGCAGATGTATTGAAATTAAATTCCCAAGTTGTAGTATTGAATGAGATGCAGGTCCAAGTTTTACTAGGTGATATAATAAGTTGGGATTCAGAATATAATATACAGGTGGCATTGAAATAAGTGCAAATATTTCAAGCCTTGAGTAAGCTCGTATACTATCGAGTGGTACAAATAAAATTTGAGGTTAGATCCCTTTTTCTACCCAAAGTTCCACACTGTAGCAATTCTGACATCACCTCTGTTCAAATTTTCGTGCGGAAGGCACAATCCTGTGGATTTCAATCATTAAAATTATTTTACAGTGTTTTTTTGTTCAATTTTTAGAATGAAATTTCTTGTTAATTAGAAGAATTTGGAAAAATCTGATATCATGGGAATAATCGTTAGACTGTATATCATATCGAGTTGCTGATTATATATACTTATTTCAAAAACACCTTGTATATAATAGTAGTCTGGCAATATACAGAAACAGCTAAGATAAAATTAGCTCATTTGATGACTTAATAGGGACAAGTTTGATATATCTGAAAAAAGCCCTCATAGTATCTTGTGAAAAAAGCTTACTTCATTCTGGAAATCTTGAAGTTTTGATTGATCGATTGAAATAAGTACACTTTAAGAAAAAAATAGATATTCTTCTGTTAATTCCACGTGATTTTTACAGATCGGAAAACCTTTCATTTCGATAATGAAATAAGTACTTGGAGTTAACCCTCTCATAATTTCCAAATGGAATATTGAAACAACTCATTCGATGAAGTTATGAGTCATTTTTTCATGTCTCTGACACTGTTTCCCCGGAAACCATACTGAATTACTGTCAAGTCTTGAGGTCACATCGAGACGAAATGTTGCCACAAGCCGAATTAACATGAATTCGAGTTTTCAAGAACCAACACGTCCAAATTCGTTCCTGGTAAAAAATACGCTGATTGTACACAAAATACAAAATACAATTATTATAATCGCGTGTTCGGTCACTTTCCGCCGTAAACCCAAAAAAGTTAGTGCGTATTTATCCGGTTCCCGCTATACGAACACCACATTGTTTTACGTAGATATCCGGTTCCCGCAGTGAAAAAGGTTAATATTTGTACAACGAATCAGCACAGCCGATTAGCCGCCGGTCTGTTACGTGATTTCCGACGTTCCATCGGAGCGTCGCCACATTTTCACACATCAGGCGTTGTCTATCTAGAGTGTGTATTATCTTTGGGAACAGCAAAGTGATCAAGTTAGTGAAGAGGGGGGTTGTGTGGGAGCGGGAGCGGCGTATCCTTTCTGTTTGGGTGGGCCGGGCTCGTGTAAGATAAGACGAAGAGATCTGCCGTCGCCCGTTGCGGAGCCAGCCAACCAGAAACTGATGATAAGGGCCGACTGCCGGGGCAGGGGCACCAAAGAAAAGACGGAAAGAGTATCGTCAGTGGCGTGACGCGGAGGCAGATGTTCAGGCAGTGTTGTTCTTGTCATCACTTTTGTAATAGATCTATTACTATTTCACAAAAGTTGTTATATGTTATTACGATTTGTCATGGATTTATTACTATTTGCTGTTAGCTCCAAAATATGATGTTTGATCTATTTCTAGTTGCGTTTTTTTGGTTCTCCCCTGTAGAATTGACGACCAATAAAACGATGTGACTCATTTTGAGAGTTGTGACATTCGGCTGATCATTTTTAGGTAATATAATAATAATATAATTCCGATATTTTGCTGTTCAATGTTCATTCGTACAAAATTATAATTTATAATGGATGATGGTGTTCCCGTATTGACCCCATATAATACTTGAAAGGATTTAATACTTGTTTTAGTCTTTTGATGTTATCTACAGGAATAATTGACTAAATGCATGTTAATACTTTCAGATTTTCAGCAAATGAATTTATCAATATTCAAAAGTCATTTCAGCAGTCCAGTATATGTTTGAAAGTATTCTGGGTAGAATTGCGAACAATTCCAAAATATTTCCTGAGGCGAGTTCACTTTTAGGCAATTTTCAAGTCAGATTTTGAGGTTAGAGTATCTGAAATACCGCCATTTCCGCCATTTCATACACTCCCTCCACAATCGTCTTCCTGTCATTCCGTATGAGAAGACGGAATGAAAAGTTGGAACCAGTTTCGGAATTTCGTTCAATAAAACATCAAGAATTGTCATTCCGGCGGAAGAATCTTGCCAATTTGTTTTCTGATGAATTAGGGTTGTTTTTCTCTCGGCATCTACCATTGTTGTTTATTTTATGAGCATTTGTGGAAATGAATTCGAGCTTTGTATCTATTTATTTAACATTTCATTCCACTACCTCAGTTGTCATAGTATTTACAAATTAATGAATCACAGTCGGTTAGGAATAGATATGGAAAAAGTCAAAAAACATAAATACGGGTTGTTCTAAATCGAAAACTTGAGAAAAATCATTTAAATATCATTTTTAGCCACCCTGCATATAATTTGAGGGCATAAAGAGACGAAGCTGAAATATCACATATCTCTCTGTTAATCTAATAGCATGATCAATTCTTCTTAAATTTCAGTTATTTTTCCAGAATGCATCTGAAGATGACATTATTTTAACAAAAAAAATCTGATGATTGAGACATACCCAGTCAATAACTGAATTGCTTGGAAAAACTAGCTAATGTACCTATCTAGATGCATAACGTTGAAAAGAGCCATTGAGCTTTCAGATTTTTTGTTGCACCTTGTATATATGCGGTAATAATTACTAGTTATAGACCTTGTTGTCTCCTTAACATTCGTTTTTGAATAATGTTTTCAACTATCATAAGACTCCAGCAAACGGATCCTGTCGTATCTCCTATTGCCCCACCCTGATGTATACCTAGATAATACCCTCTTATATAAAAAACCCGTTTCACTCGTGGATAAATATACGAAAGCTAAGTTTTGTCGTAACGAAGTTTCATAGTTTCGAACTGAAGCCAAAGCGATGAATTTTCAATTATTTCAGTTACGAAAATGCAGCTACGACAAAAATTGTACTCCAAAAATGAAGTTTCGCATGAAATGGAAATGGTATTGGAGATAATCTGCATTAGATTTTCATTATTGACGAAAGCGCGAATAATTTAATTCTATGTATTGCCGAAAGCGCAAAAATAATTCAATTATTTGGCGAGAGCACATACTTGATATTTTGGCGAATGCGCAGGAATGTGATTAGTTAACACATATTCGTGTTTCTGGCGAAGGCGTATGATTTAATTCGGACATATCGGGCACATAAGTGGAGTGTAATTATTGTTATTAGAATTAAATATGAATTTAAGAATATAAATGGGTAATATTTCTTGTTTTTGTTCACAAATAGAGAGATTTTTTGGAGATTGTATAAAAGATGTGCCTAGGCTATTTTCTGAACTGACTAATTGAGTTTGCTATTGATTAATCAATTAATGATATTAGTAGATATAAAGGGTGATTCATCAAGAATGGGCAATTTTTAGCCTTACATGCCTCATAAAAATATTGCTGAGGGAACATTTCATTTTAAAATTTCTCAATAATTTTTACTATTGCATGTGTGTTTGTTGTTGGTGTTGTTAGTTATTGTCATTATTAATTACTGTAATTTTTTTTCAGTGATGTCGTTAATTTTATAATTCAGAATAAGGATTTTATAAGTGACTACACAAATCTTTTCAAGAGCGACTAACGCAAAAACCTGGGAAAATTGAACGGGCACTCAGATTTTCGACTCATTTCAACCAATATTGAATGGATATAAAGGATAGGTAATTTACTGAAGTAACAGAATGCCACTATCGCCCTGTATGAGCAATCCCAAAATAAATTACGAATTCGTATTTCTTATGTCAAAAAACCTGAAAAATACAAAATTTTATGTTCATGATGGTGAAACTTACAAAGATACTGAGAAATTTCAAAATAAAATATCTTCCCCTTGAACACCCTGTATCTCCTGATACAGCAACATTTTTATGAGTCATGAAAGGCTAAATCTTCATATTTTGGTGGTTACTATCTGTAGTTCAGAGATTGCGCATTCTTAATGATTCGTAGATATCTTTGAGAACATTATTTTATTTTTGCAGTCGATCTGGATGGAATCCATTCTGACGAAACAAATTCCGGGGACAATTCCAACGCTGGTTCCAGCATAGGTCCAGACGACGATCAGGCAAGATTGAGGCTGAAGCGGAAACTTCAGAGGAACAGGACGTCCTTCACCAACGATCAGATAGATAGTTTAGAGAAAGGTAATATCAGAATAATATTTAATCACTTGAGAGTTGATTTTACAGGTTTCATAAGAATTTCAGAAGGACTTTTCTAGATTTTACACGGAATTTCTGTATTTTACAGATAATTTCAAAAGGTTTCACAACGATTTTTCAGATCTGATGGACAAGGATTTCTGAATGTCACAAGCAATATCTGTATATTACAACGACTACTTGAATTTTATAAGAGATTGACAGATTCTACAAGGAATGTCTGAATTTTTTAGATAATTTCTTCAGGTATCAACAAGTATTTTTTAGATTTCACAACGAGTTTTTGGATATCAAGGTTTCATAAGTTTCTGAAATCAACACGAAACTTATAGGTCTTGCAAAAATTTTCTAGATTCGAAAAGGATTTCACTGGATTCAGGTATTATTTGTATTTCTAAATTTTACGAGAAATTTCTGTATTTAATTATAATTTCTATAGATTCTAAATGGTTTCTTAGATATCATGAGGATTTCACAAAGTATCCCTGGATTTCACAAAGAATTTCTGGATTTCACAGTCAATCTCTGTATTTCACAAGGATTTTCCAGATTTTACAAAGCCTTCCTGAAATCGACAAGGAATTTCCAGATTTCATGAACAAATTCTGGATTCCACAAGTAATTCAGAAGTTTCACAAGGGTTTTCTAGATTCTAAAAGGCTATTACTAAATTATACAATCATTATTTGTAAGGAATTTCTAGATTTAACAAGGAATTTCTGTATTTTTTTTATCGCTTGGAGCGCACGAAAGGGAATCCCTATAATGTTCAAAGAACATCGTGCGTTCCTAGGGAGGATAGGGATAGGAGGTGGGAATTGAAATTTTTTTTGAACTTCTGGAGTTTATTGATTTAGGTTCAACAAGGATTTTTTAGATTTCACAAAAGATTCCTGGATTTCACCGACATACTTTGTAATGCACAGGAAGCAATTTCAAAGGGAATTTTCAGATTTTAGAAGGAATTTCCATAGATTTTACAAGGATTCTGCAGATTTCCCAAGGAACTTCCAGATTTCACTAGAATTCGTCAAGGAATTCCTGAATTTTACCAAGAATTTTCAAGAATTTTGAAGAAATTTCACAATTTCTAAAAAATTTCTGGACTCCTTGAGTAATTTATAGGTTTCAGAAGGATTTTCTAGATCCTTCAAGGCTTTCACCAGATTCCACAATTATTATCTGTAAGGCATTAGTAGATTTTACAAGGAATTTCTATGATCTACAGTTGATTAGGTTCTACAAGAATTTTTCCAATTTCACAAGGATTTCACAAAAGATTTCTGGATTTCACCAACAGTTTGTGATTTTAAAAGGAACTTTCAGATTTTATTAGGAATTTCAATAGCTTTTATAAGAATTCGTCAAGGAATTCCTGAATTTTACCAAGAACTTTTAGGATTTCTCACATTTTCTAAGCAATTTCTGGATTCAACAAGAAATTTATAAGTTTTTCGAGGAATTTTCAGATTCCACAACAAGTAATATCCGTATTTTTCCAGAATTCGAGCGCACCCACTACCCGGACGTCTTCGCCAGAGAACGCCTGGCGGCCAAGATAGGCCTTCCCGAAGCCCGCATCCAGGTGTGGTTCTCCAACAGGCGCGCCAAGTGGCGGCGCGAAGAGAAACTGCGCAACCAGCGAAGGGGGGCGCCCGGCGGGGGAGAGCACCCAGGATCTGCCCCCCCGCAGCCCCCCTCGCCGCCGAGGCTGCACGGTTTCCACGGGTCAGGGGGGGCGAGCATGTACTCGCCTATGGCGACGCCGATGAGCATAGCCGATACGTACAGGTGAATGAAATAAAAATAGTATATTCTTCAACGAGCGTATAATGATAGCTATTATCCGAGAGAATAATAGCTATTATACGCGAGTAGAAGACTATACTTTCTCTACGACTATACGATAGTCAGAAATGTAATGTAATCTAATTATTATTTATGAAAATAATATACTTGATGTATGAACTTTAATGATATGATAATACAATTGACAGAAATCTTTAATATTCAACGAACTCAATGATGAAACAGCACAATAATTATTAGGTCAGTAAATTATGTTTCTCGTACTTGGTGACTAAATTTTTAGTGATATTCTCACAATTCGTGAAATTCAATGTCGGTGTTGCATTTAAATCAACACTGACATTCTTATTCATATTGCTAGTTGATGTTTTTTGTGTGAAGGAACTGTTATTTGATGATGAAGAACATTGTTCGATTCATTGAAGAATTCGAATCTGCCGTTTTTTTTATTCAACATGAAATCTTCTAGAAATCCTTCTGCTACCGATGTGCTCTTCCAGCCACCATGTCTTTTCAATGCTGTTATACCTCCACCTGCATTGACAAGCAAAGCAATGCCCGGTGTACATCTCGGGATTTGGTAGCTTCAAAAATGTAACTATTTGTTTTTCCATTGCTGCAAACTTATTAATTCCAATTTTCTAAAGAGTACATTTTCCTTTTTGGTAATTCATGAAAAAATTGGAAATCACAATGTTTGCTGCTCGTATGTCAATGTACTTTTTACAAAATTGATAAAATTTCCCGTTTACAGTGAACCTCCTTACAATTTTTGTTTTGGTCTCAGGAATAGTTATCATCCATGCAGATCCAAGATCTCGAATATCTTCAATATTCATAGAGTACATTTCTATGGAACGGCAAGCCTCCATTATATCCTCCAGATATCAAAGTTAAAACTTAAAAGACTCTATAAGTCATTCTGACATTCGCGAAAGTCAAGCCGTGACGTGACCCGTAAAATGAAGCAGAACCTTCTTGAGAAATTTGTTTTGTAGATTTGCTGGTTTTTCATTAGTCTAACATTTTCAGTTGCTGTGGATCCTGAAAATTCTGAATCTGTGATTGGTCGAGTGCCGTTGAATAATGAGTTGGGATCCACGGTGTCTTGGAATCATCTTCATTCATCCATTACTTAGCCTATATGTAATCAATGTAGAATACGATAGTCGTAGAGAAAAGTCATTTACCCATTAGCACCGGAATTATTTTTTCCTTTTTTTCTTTTTTTTTATGACCATTAACTAGTGTGAAATGCTTTCGAAAGACGAGAAGAGTATAAAGAATCATAGTTATTGGTTTACAATTTAGGTTTTCGAAAAATCAGCTGTTGCCATATGGCAACACTAGGCGCTTGTGATACATGTTTTGGGATATTAATACATATACCTACATACATTTTGAACACACACTATTCTGAATGGCTACGTCAAATATCCAAGTGATTAGGGGCCACTACGAATTCCTATGCGGTAATAACTAATATTTTGACCCATATGATCAGCTTCGCACAAGCATGCCTTTTTTCTAGAAAAGCCGATCTCACTGTGCCCAACATAAGCTTATCAGGAGTAACCATACCTTTGAAGACATCCATTTCGATGCTTGGTATTACTATCAGCAATAACCTCTCTTGGGAAAATCACGTGAGATCAATTGCTAAAAGTGCATCCCGAAAACTTTGTTTTCTGTTTCGGGCCAGGAGCTTTTTCACTTCCAGTCATCTGCTTAAGATCTATAAGGCACAGATTCGACCTGTCTTGGAATACTGTTCCCATATTTGGTATTAAGCTCCCAAACATACACTGAAACTTTTATAGATATTTTCATGGACGATGCTCTTCTGAAGTATCAACAATTGTACCTCCCTTGGCAGTCCCCGCGAGATTAACCCGTCGAGTTGAGGCTTCATACCCCTTCGTGGTCACTTTGAAGACCTTCAGAACATATCTTTCCAAAGACTCGTTCATCCAATGAACAGCGAGACTCTGGAACCCATTGCCAAGGGAGGTGTTCTCCGAGGCATATAACCTCGAGAAATTTGAGAAGACACCAATTCCTACCTTATTTTCCTTGGTTCTCACGATTTTCTCTGAACATTACAGGATATCCCTTTTTGTGGGAACCAGAAGGTAAAAAAAAAACATAGTACTAAACAACGCATACCATCTGGTTTCTTCTGGCAAGTGCAGAATAACTTCGTCATTTCCCGCTCAGTCGCTTGGGAATTATTTGAATCTCCACCTGACTAGCGTTGCCATATGGCAACGCACGGAGCTAATGGGAAGTATTCTTTTCTGTGACGGAAAAAAAAAAGATATTTCATTTCTGTTGACAGGTAATAAAATGTCACTTTTCATTAATCACTTTTTTCCCACGAGATAGAAATGAGTACTTTTTTACCGGATATACAGTGTGGAGACTTTAACTGAAATAAATTCGTTAGCGGAGATGAATATTTTTTCTGTTAATTCCCGACATATCTCAACGATGTGATGAACCAGTTTGCAATAGCATTTCATTTCGAACTGTAAATGCAGCAAAAAAACTAAATTCATTTTTGCTGCTCTATAACACTGAAATACAATAGCAGATAGCAGTTTTAGCAAAGAATTGCCATCAAATGTTCAACACACATTTTGAGCGATTGATACGTTGAAAAATAAATGAATTTTGAAATTAAATTTTTTTTGCAACCTTCAAATGTATAAAAAAACTTAAATTTGACGCATGCTGGATTCCTCTTTCCACCAGCTTTCCAATAAAGGATCACAAGCCATAGGGTTGCATTTGAAAAAAACAAGTTGGGGTAGATTTCTGCTACCCCTGAAGGGTTATATTCTCCATATTGCTCGCCAAATATAGGGGAAATACATTTAAACGTTGACAAGTATAGTGTAAAACTGTACTTTTCAACTTTAATTTCGGAATCGGTGAGTTATATTTCGGAAAAAGTAATCTCAATTTCAAAATTGGTTAGTTCGATTTCAGAAATGGTAATAGTAATTTTCCTAACAAGTGCGGAAAGTGATTCTTTCCCGCACGTGACTGCCGTTGACACGAACGACGCGAAGCGGAGTTCGGGCAAGCAGGAAAGAAACTTTCCGCATGAGTTAGGAACAATATTTTTTCTACAAGCGTAGGAAATTGATTGTATCGTTCAATTAATTATTCAAGCAAATAGGAACAACTATAACAAGAGATATATATTCTCTATCTATTAATTATTAGTAGGTAATAGCTATTGTGAACTTACAGTTTGACGCATTATGTTGTATCATTGCGGAAGCCAACAGGCCCATTAGGAGTTTGGTCTCTAGGTTCCAGACACTTCTATGAAATGAGCCAAAAATACTTATTCTTCATTCGGTTTTTTCATTTCTTTAATATTGCACCATTCAATGAAACGCGTGTATAGCTTCTCATACCTTCCTTAAGACTTCGTTGGTGATAACGCATCTGTATCAAATCCCTATAGCTAGAAGTTTTTGATCACATTGTGGCATGTCCACTGAATCGAAAATGACAGTAACGCTGTGTCTGTCACTTCGACAATTTCAAACTTATTTGAGGTTTGATTGGCATGACAAATTGACGTTTCCCGTCAGATCAATCCAAATCTATAGGGGGATTTTTATAAGAATCAATTTTTATTTCTCAATATTTCTTAATTTGTACAATAAATAGTGCAATTTGATGGATGATTCTGAACATACATACTTAATACTGCAACAAACAAACTTAAACTTTTATATTCCATCACTAACCACTTATACTTTGCGATATTATCATATCTCTGTTTTTCCCACACTAGTGCGTGAAAAATTTTCCCGCATTGCTGTTCCCAAACTAAATTGCGTGCGGGTATAGGCCATAGGGTGAATCACGCACGCTTGTAGAAAAAGGTATAGCCCGTCAAACAACATCCTAATTTCCAGCAGCATGTCGACGATGCCGACCTTCTCGCACCACGTGCCCTCGTCCGGGGGGGCGGGGTCGTGCCTACAGCAGCGCGACAGCCCCACCATGGGCGGCTACTGCATGGGCAGAGCGCCGCCGCCCGGCTACGACCTCGGCCTCGGGTACGGGGGCGGCCGCCACCCGTCGCCGTGCAGCCCCTCGCAGCCCGCCTACCAGATGAACGGACACCAGTACAACGCGAACGGAACGTCGTCGACAGGTGAGAGTCGCATATTGAGTTCATTGTAACGGGCATAGCCAAGCTTTTCGACCAATCAAGTCGATTTTGGCCTTGGCGGATTCTTGGCGACTTTGAATCACCAAGTCTGTTCCGTCCTCGCGGAAAAGTTAGAACTTTATTTACTTGAGATCAAGGAGATCGAGATCAATGTTTGTATACCTTGAGAGAGGCTCACCTCCCTGTATAATAAATAATAATTATCGCGCCAAAACCAATGCAACGACAGGTTTCTGCGCACCTTTAGGACAGAGTGTGGGTGGCAAGTAAACAGACACACACGAGACCAAGTACTCACAATAATTATTTTTTGATCTCTCTGTCGATTATTCCGAGAAGCAACCCAAAAACAGCAGTGTCCTAAGCTATTGGGCATTGCAACTCGAACTCAGGTGCATTTAGTGTTACGAGTGCCTTATTATTCTCAACAATAAGTGCTCCGATCAACAGACGGCCGTCCTCAGAGTTACCGGCGCAGCGGTCCTTCGCCGGCCATCGAAACAGTGGTGAGTGAATCTTGTCGTTGCCGAAAAATATTTAGTTTTCACAATAGTACCAAACTGGTACAATTTACTACAGCCTGCTTAGCTTCTCTCTCGCCCAAACAAAGTCATACATCGAATAATCATCAATGAATTATTTCCCAAGTGTCTGGTAATATTGATTAGCAATTGATGACGAAGCATGTGATAGGAACTGGAAAATGAAATTTAGGACAAATTGTTGTAACTAAAAATATATTCAATATTCAAATGTATTTATTTTTATTCCAATTTCGGGAAAGCTGGCTTTGTAATTTTGAAATTCTGCTTCTTGGTAGTAGATTTTCGAGGGCATCCACCAACACAACTATTTCTACCTGAATGGCAGGTTTTACGCCTTGATCGTGATAGGGTTGGATAGGAATTCTAGACCTCAACTTATTTCTTCGATTTATCATTCCTAATAAATATAGTGATTATAAATTCAAGTGAATAATAAATAAAAAAGGGGGAGTACAATATCTCACACAAAAATATCCGAAGAGAAGCCGGTGTGACATGCACTTGCAAAACCAGATACAGTTTCGATGTCTCTCAACTTTTCAACCAAAACAGTCAAGGCTTTTGAAATTTCTATTGGTTAACGTTTCAGATATTGAGAAAATATTTTATTCACCACATTAATACTTTCAAAACCATCTGAAATACAGGGGTCCTCATTCAATATTTCTTGCGCTCTCACATCAGGAGATGGTTCATCAACAAATGGCTCATCATTTTCGGAATATATTTTTGTGGATAATATTATTTCTTCATTGCCACCACAGGATGATGATGGCCCACTAGTGCTACTATCATTTAGGAGTAGTTTTGCCTGTGGCAGTACAGAAATACATTTTTCTTGTTCTTGAAGTTATCAGAGTTCACAAAACAACAGACCCAAATAATATGTTTACACATACAACCTGTTCTTCCTTGGTTACATGTGCAAGTTGAAACTTCGAAATCAATGCTCGTATCGTGATGAAAATCAGCCATCACTTGTGGTCCAGAACTCCGAGAGTAGTTTATGATAGCTCTAATGTCCAGAATAATTTGAATAATTCAAAATTCAAACCATTTCAAACTGATGACATATTTATTCTGAATCGAAAAACTTAAGCCGAAACACGCACGCGTGAAACTCAACGTTGTGATTGGTCTAAAAGCTTGCCTATGCCTGGCCTGTAATCGGGACGTTTTGAGTATGTGCGAGAGTCGCGTCCAGTGCTGCCAACTCAGCCATTTTATGGCTAGTTCTAGCAATTTTTAAAGTCATCTAGCTACTAAAAGGACCCCGCACCGCAATAGGGGGGTATCGTTAATACACTAGCTGGTTGAATAAATATTTTGAAGTCAAGTTCTTGACACTTTGTGAATAAAAGAAACTGTGTGCTACTATAACATTTACAGACATAATTTGAGCATTAATATCATACCATTATTGACAACATTCAACAACATTTTCATTATGTTACTCCATTCAGGTTTGATATCGCCGGGTGTATCAGTACCGATAGCAGTGCCAGGCCAAACAGATATGTCCCATCAGTCCTATTGGCCGCGAATACAGTGACCTTGGTGGACTCAAATGTTCGAATAACTCACAATGTTGGCTGTCGTTCATACCCACATCTCGAGCTTTCATCATTATTCTCATTTTGTGTTTTATCCGTACTCGAAATTTATTTATTATTTTACTCAGGAATGAACTTTTTCTACGACATATTACTATTCCTAATAAGAAAGTTTCAACAGCGTTGAGGAAGAAGAATATATCCTCTCTTTCGGTTCTTGTGTTCAAGGTTCCAACGTAAAACAATGAAAATGTTATGTTGGTAACACAAAAAATGACCAGGAACGATTTTTGTTAGTTGTGTGTTGTGTTACCAGCATAACATTTTCATTGCTTCAGGATGGAATTCTGAAGACAGAAGAGAGACAAAAGAGCATTTCTTCCATTTCTCTCTCTTGAGGTAATTTCTCAGGTGGGTAAAGTCTTCTTCAGAGAATATGTCGCACATGGACAGAGATATACTTCTATCCACTTTCGCATTTAGAGCATAAACACCATCCAACCACAACATATTTTCTCAGAAAATGACTGTACTTGCTGACCAATTTGCTATTTTATTGGATGATCTACTCTGCAGTAATTTGGTTTTCACGAATATCACATTCATTCAGATAGAGATTTTTTTTCTAAAAGTTGAGATTTTCCAGATATTGGAACATTGTGTGTAATAGTCGTAGAGAAAGTATAGTCTTCTGCTTGCTTGTGATAGATAATACTCCCTGGTGAATTATAGCATTCATTACAAGCTGGTTGAAGAATCTATTATTTATGATCAATATACAGGGTGGCTGATAGAAAACGCTTCGAGTTATTGCTCCATTATTTACTGCCCGATATTGATAAATTATGTATATGGAATGACTCTTCAAATTCTATGAGGAAACACTCACAGTCAGTAAGAAATTATTTCTTTTTACTTCCCAGTTCATCAGAATAAAATGATAAATAATAATGGCGCTACGGCTGGAGGCTTTTTTTATCAGCCATCCTGTATGGATAGAGTGGTATGTGAAGGAATTCAGCAATATTTTTTCATCACGTGAGATGTAAACGTTTTTATTGGCTACGAAATAGCAGTGAAAAAACAGAATTTTATTAGGAGCTATTTTGTGGCAGCGTCGTTTTTGTCAATTTTTTAACGTGTAAGTAGGTACAGTGTGATTCACAGTAAATGACTCACCCACCCTGTAACTTGGTCGTTTCTGAACCGATTTGAGAATTCCAAAAATACATCTGATACACGCTAAAAAAACAGTTTGGAATCCTGATCTCGATTCAGAAATGATCAGAGAGAAGAGGAAATTAATGAGAAATCACCCTGTACCTACACTTTATCAGCAACTTGCCAAAAATTATTTCAATGGGAATCCAAAGAGATGAATTTATTGTACTTAAATAATATTTTATTTTCTATGTGTAAAAGTGATTTAAATAATTGTTTTGTCATCCTGCCGAATCAACAATGTACATGGTGAGTCACACACGGTACCCACAGGTCTTCTTCAGAAAACTCGAAAGAGATACAAGGTCTGTTATTATGGCAGAGTTGTGCAATTTTATGCTTAACAAAATGTCGTTTTGAAATTTGATAAATTCCAGATACTTCCAAAGATTTCTGGGAAAAAATCGATTTTTCGCGATTTCATTTCTATTATTTCATAACTCTATTTGAATAGATGTAACAATAGCTATTTATATATCAAGGTAGCAAAGATATCCATTGCCTCCCCCGTGATTTTATCAACGAACGTAGGTATATATTTTGAGAGCGTCGTTCTTAAAATTGTACTTCAATTCAATATGTAACATGATCTAAGGTTACAGACCGGGTATTGCTATCATATCAAGATTCGAAATAGCGGAATTCTAATCATCGATTTTTGGCAATATGATCTGTCAATTTCAATGACATCTGGTCAGCTTTCTTGCTACCTCGGCAACATCAATTTTGTGCTTGCTATCTTATAACAAGGTAGTGGATTCTTTGTTTTTCAAATTCTTTCAACTGTATGAAAATTTAGAAAATAGTGGATTAAAAACATAATATATGAGAGTTCAGTTGTGTCACGGACTACTCGAAAACGTTTCCTCAAAGTTTCAATTCGTAGAAGAATTATTGAAAAACATGAAATGTTGATAACAAACATATAGAATAGTTTCACTAATTTTAAACCTTTTCTTGAAGTTCCAATTTGAGGAGGAAATATGAGACTACAATTCCGGCATATGACAGAAATTTCAGTTGCCTGATGGATAGTTTATCAAGCTATTTTGCTGGAATATTGAGAAAAAAATCACGATTATCTTCATCCGGCTTTCAGTTGTTTTCTCATTTCGGGGACATGATTGATTACTTGCACCAGTCGCACAACGACGACCATATTCAGCAAATACAAAATCTCTTGATTTGAATAATATAATTTTGTAAAATGTCGGTGCAGGACTGACTAATTTGAGAGGTTAGATAATCATGAACTCTTCTTCTTCATGAAATAATTCTGTTTGCAGAGTAACTGCAAGATTGGTTATAAGTTCAAGTGATAACAATATTGTTGAAAAATTGAGAATTTTTGAGCTGACGACACTGTTTTCAACTCATTTTTTAAGTGTTAGGTATAGATTTTGCCATTATTCCATGAAGAAGAAGAGTTCAAGATCAGCTGACCTCTCAAATTAGTCAGTCCTGCACTGACATTTTACAAAATTATATTGTTCAAATTGAGAGATTTTGTATTTGCTGAATCTGGCCATCGTTGTGTGACTGGTGCAAGTAATCAATCATGTCCCCGAAATGAGAAAACAACTAGAAGCCGGATGAAAATGATCGTGATTTTTTTTTATTATTCTTGCTAACTAGCTTGATAAACTATCCATCAGGCAACTGAAATGGTTTTCTTCTCATATTCCCTATACAAATTGGAACTTCAAGTAGTTGGTCACAGTAGTGAACCTATCCTATATGTTTGTAATCACTATTCCAAGTTATTCAATAATTCTTCTACAAATTGAAACTTCGAGGAGAGGTTTTCGAGTAGTCAGTGACACAAGTGAACTCTGATATGTTTTTAATCCAGTATTTTCTGAATTTTCTTACACTTGGAAGAACTTGTGCAAAAACAAAGAATCCACTACCTTGTTATAAGATAGCAAGCACAAAATTGATGTTGCCGAGATAGCAAGAATGCTGACCAGATGTCATTGAAATTGACAGATCATATTGCCAAAAATCGATGATTAGAATTCCACTTTTTCGAATCTTGCTATGATAGCAATATCTTCTCTACAACCATATTGCTATTTGCAAACAGAATCGACCCGATATCTGTTTTATCGTAGTAATGGAGACGCTATGATTAGGTTCTTGGGTAGCACAGATCTTATATCTTATCTCTCTACCAAGGAGGCTGAAGCCAATTT